ATCAGCTGGGAGTAGTTGTGAAAGGGAAATTAAAATTTTAAATAAACCCTGCCAAGAATGCCCGCCAAAATCATGTGGACATGTCTAGATAAGCCTGATAATAGGACACTTCTTCCTTTGTGTATCCCATGCTTGTTTAACTGATGGCCTTGCAATGTAACTTGAGAGGTTTAAACTTCCTTGGCAACCTATGATGTCACCCAACCTTCCAGTCATAATGCACTAAATTTACCTCTGTACCTCCCCCTTCCTCTCCCCATAAAAGTCTCAATACCCCTCTGGGCAGGGCTCTGACTCTGGGAGAGAACCCAGTCAAGCCCACTAATGTAATAAACTGCCTCGTAAACCTTCTCAGTGCTATCTATTCCTGTATTTGGTGTGTTTTCCATAACAGTGGCACATGCGTGTAATTCCAGCCCTCAGCAGGCTGAGGTAGAAAGATTATCATGAGTTTGAGGCCAACCCAGACTACATAGTGAATTCAGGGTCAGTCTGAACTATATAGTGAGATCCTGTGTTAAACAAAAAAATAAAACCAAAACAAGCAAACAAAAACAACCAACCAACAAAATCAGTAACAACAAAAAGTTGTGAAATCAGAAGTTGGTATCAGATCATATTTTAGGTTCACTCTGAAGTGTTAGGTGAGGATAGCGCTGTGCTTGGTGAAGGTTTTTGTCTCTGTGGTTGCTGCTAAGGAAAAATGGAGTGTGCAAGGAAACAGTTTGGTGGCTCCTGAGTGAGTTCCTGTATGGCTCAGCAATTCCACTCCTAAGTTTATATATGCTCCTGAATTGAAAGTCGTTGTTCAATAAAAATTTGTGCACAGCTATTTGTAGCAGAGCTATTCACAATAGTTAAAACTAACCCAACTCTCCATCAAGGCATGCATGGCTAAATAAGATGTGGAATATTCCTATGATGGAATACTATACAGCCACAAAAAGGAATGAAGTACTCATACATGCTTCAGCATGGATGAACCTTGAAAACATTGTATTATGTGAGAGAAGCCAGTCACAAAAGACCATATGTGGTTCCATATAAATTGAATGTACAGCATTGGCAAATCTGCAGAGATAGAGAGCAGATTAGTGTTTATGGAATACCGGAGAGGTTTAGGGCGGAAAGTAAAGAGTAGTAAGTGCTTCGTGGGTATGGCATTTCTTTGGGGTGATGAAAGTGTTTCGAGTTAGACGGTCATTGCACAACATTACCAGTGTCTTAAATGTTAGGAATGGCAAATTTCTTGTTAGGTATATTTTGCTACAATTCCAAAACAATGGGAGTATTCTTCATTTGGCAGGACCTGGGCCTCCTGGGTGAGATGTCCACTGCAGAGACCTGCGTCCCGCTGCTGCTCAGGCTGTCTCCGGTGTCCTGTGGGACTGAGGCAGTGTGAGGGATGGCATGGCTCGCTGGAAGCGCCCTCATGTGAAGCCATGGGGGAAACCGTGCTGTTTAAAACCCGAGCAGACAGAAACCCAGCAGATATAAATTTTTACTGCACCGAGGCTAGGAGAATTTTAAGTTTATTCAATGAAAAGGAAAATAAACTTTTATGATCTGGTGGTGCCATAGTAAGTTCAGTTAAAAGTGTGTGGAAAGTTTCTAGCTCTTGGTGCACGTGCTTTTTTTCTTTGTCCTCGGGAGTGTGCCACTTGGCCCTCCTCACCCAGTGTTCTCCTTTCAAAAGGGGGAAAAAAGCCCACTTTTCAATGGTCTTTGTTTCTGACAATAAAACTGTATTTGATTAATACAAAGGTTCATTAAAAGTGAAAAACATGTTTAAAAAAGTAAGTCTAAGCAATCAGATAATGCTACTAATGTCTTTCCATGTATCCGTCTGGAGTTTTTCTTTTTCTTTTTTCGTTCCCCCTATGCCTGTGTATGTACCTGTATGTTGGGTTTCGTGGGTCATATTGCCTTTATCAATGTTACAGGGATATTGTTCATACCGGGAAGCACCAATAAATGGACTATTATAGCCGGGCGTGGTGGCGCTTGCCTGTAATCCTAGCACTTGGGGAGGCTGAGGCAGGAGGATTGTTGTGGGTTCGAGACCAGCCTGACTTACAAAGTGAGCTGAAGGCCAGCCTGAACTGCATAGTGAGACCCTGTCTCAAAAAGACAAAAACAAAAAAAAAAAAAAAAAAAAAGGACTGTTAACGGTGGCGTAGTATTTCATTCTGTGCGTTGTCCTGACTGATGATTCCATGACCAGTGTTGTAAATGAGCCAGACAGGACCTTACCTTGCAGTGACTCCCCTATGACAGTTAGTCCTCTGTGAGACGTGACTGGCGACACAGGGTTTTGAAATTTATTTCCGTTCAGCTTTTCGTGCTGGCTAATGATAGTCTGCAAAGCAGAGGTAATGACCTATGTCAGCCCATTTTCTGTTGCTATAACAGAGAGTACGTGTGACAGGCTTATTGGCAAAGAAAAGCAGTATAATTAGCTGATGAGTTTTTATGCTGGGAATTCCAACAGCATGACGCTGGCATCTGTTCAGGTCCCTCTTGTTGCATCAGAACATGGGAGAGGGCATTGCATGGCGAGACAGAGCAAGCATACTAGCTTGGGCCTCTACTTTTTTAAAGCCACCAGGGCAACTGAAGGGGGGGCTCCACCCTCATGACCTCATCTAATTCTGATTACCTCCCAAAGGCTCTGTATTCAAATACCATCAGTATATGAATTTGAAGATTAAGTTTCTAACACATGAACTTGAGGGAACATCATAGCATGAGTTGGGCCTGGTGGGGTATACGTGTAATCCCAGCACACGGGAGGCTGAAGCAAGAAGATTGCAAGTTCGAGGCTAGACTGAGATATGTAGCAAGATCCTGTCTCAGAAACAAAGCAGATACTCAAACCATAGCATGGACAATAAAAGGAAAGGGGCCCATTAAAATATCCGCTCAAAACTCACTGCCTGGGCCGCAGATATAGCTGAGTGCCGCAGCACCTGTCTGGCAAGCGTGAGGCCCTGAGTTCAATTCCTGGTACCCTCCCTCCCCACCCCCAATAAAACAATCCCTCCTCTGCCTTCAGAAGCTTTTTGTGAACCCCACTCAATCCAGTTACTTCATCTTTTCTCCCAGCAGAAGATGGGGACCGAGTAATGAATACGAGCATGGGCTTTGAAGCCAGACTGCATGGGCCACATTCTTGCTTTTGTCATATAGGATGGATTACTTAATGTTTCTGTGCCTCAATGTTCTCATCTGTAATTGAAGATAATAATACCTTCCAGGTCACATGGGATAATCTAAGGCAGGAGTACCTGGCAGCATATGGCCAGTCCTCAGTAAATGATGGATGTTGTTACTGCTCTGATTTGATTCTGCTGACCCTGCCAGCTTGTGGATTTGTGAGTTGATCCATGTGCTTGGAGTGTCCAAATAGAGTATAAAGTCTGAAAAGTTCAGGGACCTGTGTGTCTGTTACAGTGTCTGTCACTGTGTGAGCCCCTTGTTAGTAGTACTAATTGACTGTCTGATCTGACCTGCTGAAATGATGGGATCCTCTTGGTTGAATTGGCCTCATTTTCCCAATAAAAATAACACCAAAACTCCCAACAAAAAACCCTGAAAAACATAGAAAGTTAATGTAGGTAAAATGTAGTTCCTTTGAATAGGACAATACCATGGACTTTACTACTCTAAGGAAAGAAATTCCTGACTAGAAGAATTTAGAATTCTTCAATCATTGTGATAAACTCCAGAATTATCTGAAAGAACTAAAAGCCATTATTCTGAAGGACTAGTCTATAGTAGAAAAGCAAATAAAATCTTAATTTCCCTCATTCATTCATGATTCTTGGGCACTGAGTTATTTTCAATAAGTGCATTTTCTTGTGAAATTTATTCATGTGATTACCATAACATTTTATATTTTAATTATTTTGATATAGTTCTTCCTGATGTATGTCCATTGTCTATAGCTTTCAGGCAGGATATATTGAAAAAAATACAGCCAATTTGTTAGGCTTTGGATCCTCATCATTAATGTTACTATTATTTATTTATTTTTAGCTCTGCCAAATAATCTCAATGCCATTTGCCTTCTGTCTTATTTACTTTTCTTATTACTGAGACAAAACACCCAACTCCCCAAAGTTACAGGGGAAAAGGTTTCTTTAGGTCACAGTTTATAGAAGCTTCAGTCCACAGTTGGCAGGCTCCAAGGCAGGTGGCATATGGCAGAGGGCAACCGTCCATGGCGGTGGAAGCAGCAAAAGCAAGAAGAGAGAGCAAGAAGCCTCTTTCTGTCCCTTGTACAGTACTCAGTCTACCGGGATTAGGGCGGTGCCAATCCAGTGAGAGGACTGATCAGCAGTCACCCGCCCGTAATCCCAGCATTGCACGAATCAGTCACACACTCTAGATTCCGCCACCTTCTTCATAGAAAAAAGCTGTATGACCCCATGAGGCTTTGGGGGGACATCTAGACACAAACCCTAACAGCTTCTAAAAACTCAGATAGCTATTCCCTATGTACCTCGTTTAACTTTTTTTTCTTGTTGCCAAGGTGTGTCAGCTTTTACTTTTTGCTACAGAAATGTGCACGATTGCTTTCTCCATCCCCAAAAGACCCTCCTAATTCATGAATCTCCTAAGTGTGTACGCTGGGAAACCATCAACCCAATTCATTTACTACTTTGTGTAATAAAGGAATATACTTAGCAACAGGTATTTGAACCATTCAGGGACTTTACTAATTTACTTCCAGGTTACAGGGTGTTGTCTGGTAGAGTTCTGACTCTGGGCAAAATGCCGTTTTCTTTATAAACTAAAGTGCTTAAGATGTTTTATTCTATCTAGCATTAGTGCCTTCCTATTTCTAAATTAAAGATTTACATTAAAGAAGAATAATCACCTGTCCTCTACACAGTTGGTAAAAGTTGAGTAAAATGGAATTTGGATCTTTTTAGTGGAAGGAAAGGTGAAATACTTTTAGGTACTGTCTTGTGAGTGTTTTCCCATTTTCTTTACAGAGACCTGTTGTTGAATATAACCGTCAATAAGCTCATAGACCAGGAGATCATAACCATTGCACGTTGCTACCGCGTACCTGAGGACATAGATACAGATGTCAATCTCTTAATTGCACAGGCCCAAGAAAAGCTCAAGAAAAATATGTTTGAGCAATTCGACAGAGTCATTTTTAGCTGTGTCTATGAAGATCGAGAAAAGTAAGCTTTGTTTTATTGATTCTTATAAAGTATTTAAGTACTGAGTAATGAAGGCTTTTATATTTTATCCAACAGGGCAAAAAGAAAGCTAATATTTCTCTTTGTACTCCTCTATTTAGCAAAGCCACGTGAAATCATTAGGGGATAGCGCAGATTAAGGGAGGGCCTGTATCAATAGAAGAATGGGCTGCCCTGTGCAATTTTTTGTTTGTTTCTAGAAGCTGTCGACTGAAACAAATAAATCAGGATGTTACAAGGTTTAATTCTGAGGCATCATCTTACATTATTTTAAGTACTTACTGGGACTTATAAATAGGCTTTTTATAATACAGAGAACATGGAATTTACATGTAAACTTTCTATTGAATTTCTTTGAAATTATTTCTTAATAATGGAGCTCAGCCTAATCTGTTTCCAATACATTGATCATATTTTTTGAGTTCATTAAATCATTGTTACATACAACTGAATACAGCCATCTTTTTTTTTTTTTTTTTTTTTAAGGATAAAAGGAGGGAAACATTAACAGACATACAACATTTTACAACATATCACAAGCTTTTACAACATATCACAAGCAATACAGCCATCTTAATATGTTTTGGGATTTATCTAACCCATAGACCTGATAAAGTGCAGGGAAATATAAATTCATTTATTTCATCTGGAGTTGGAAAATCCTTGTTATTGTGTATCACTGCAATCTCTCTTCCCTGTTACCTTGTTGTTCATCTTTAGATTTGAAGTTGGTACCCTTGTGGCCTGCGGCTGCCTTGAGTACTTTTGAAGGTCCCATAACTTATCTTAAAAATGAACATTTTTTTCTTAATCCATAATATATCCTCACTCAATTACTATATAGATTTTCTTTTTCCTTGAACCTTTAGGCTTTCTCGAGCCTCCTAGTGGGTGTATGGAGTGAGCTTTGCATGACACTGGTCCTCTTTTCCCCCTTGGCAGTATCCCTTTTCTTTTTTTTTTTTTTTTTTTTTTTTTTGTCTTTTTGAGACAGGGTGTTGCTGTGCAATTCAAGCTGGCCTCAAGCTCACTTTGTAGCCCAGGCTGGTGTCGAACTCCTAACAATCCTTCTGCCTCAGCCTCCTGAGTGCTGGGATTACTGGCGTGCGGCACCCCGCCCGGCCGTGGTATCCCTTTTCCCTGATGGAATTGTGATCTTGTTTGACTAAAGGAATATGTATGGATAGATTGGGGCTGCTTGATCAGATGACCTGGCTTTGTCCTAGATCTGACAAGCTTCAATTCTACACAAACGTTTTCATTGCAAAGAAAAGAGCCCATTTTCTTTCCTGTTGATTCTGATTTTGTGTGGTGCCTGGAGGAACACTGGCTAAATGAGAACACTGGAGAAGCATTTCTGGGGGAAATGACTGTTGGGCCTCCTCTAGAGACAACTACTCACATTTGACAAAATTGAAGTAAATGTTAAGCCCCTCCGCCGCCCAGCTATCTTCCACATTATAAAGTTTGGGTCCAAGTAGAAGACCAGAAAAATACCCTGAAGTCATATCATACTTGTTTTGGAGGCTCTACATGCTTCTCAAATTAGGGTGTGTTTTCAAATATCAAAACCATTTTTGACCAGTGGTCAAGAATGCAGATTGATTACTTAGAGCAACACTCATGGCTGTCGCCTTAATAGGCGGTGCTATCACTGACCAAGAATCTGAATCTTGAAGGAAAGGCCTTCCTAAGGACAGAGTCTGGTGACCTCTGAAATGGAAACCATTAGTGAAATACACTATGTCTGTTTTTCCTTACTGTGAATTCCAGTACCTGTTTTTTTACTTATTTCCTTGTCATGTTTTTAGAACATATCGCATTGTTATTTTTTTCTCCGATAGCATATAATTTTTGCCAAAAGCACACAAGGTGTATAAAATCTCATTTGCTTTGTTTCAATGCAGAAAAAATGTACTACCCAGTAGAGACATCAAAAGGCTGTGCAAGACCCACAGGTTTCCTTTCACTGACGATTTTCTAGAAAACTTACTGTCCAGGTAAGTAAAAGATCCTGCATAGTTTTATTTTAAGGATTATTCTTGCTTTCACATCAACCCTTATTTACCCTTGCTTGTTTTGATTGTATCACTGATGACCCAGCTCCCTTTAATGCAAAAGGAAAAGTTAGTCATGATTTTGAAATTTATAGAGCCTGTTAACAATCATTATTTGGTCTTTTTGACATTAATGACACAGACACAGGTTACAGGGACAAAGTGAAATGTATATTGTGGTATGAGGACTTAGGGTTAGTAGCACAGGGTCCACACTGTTCAAGCGTTAGATGTAAAGCATAGATTGTGGTGCTAGAAAGAAAGTACAATGAATTGCTTTCTACAGCACATCACTTCTGTTAAATCTGACTTTTGACTTTTCAGTTTCACCCTCCTCATCATCCAGATTTTGGATGTTTTCGTGTTTCCTAAGGCATTATTCCACTTCCTCTTCTGATTAAACTATCTGGATAATTCTGGTATTTTTGGCTTTGTGCTAGGCATTATAGTCATTGCCTTGATGCATTATTTCATTTTCTTTTTAAAAACAATTTGGTATATTCAAAATTATTATGTGTCTTATCTCATACATGAGGAGGTTGAGGTTTCCAGAGAGGCGGGTAATTTGTCCAAAATCACATACTCCAGAAGAAGAGCCGTGACTTTACCCGCTTACCTTTTAAATGCACATCTTTCGTTCCCAATTACTTGGAATTATTGTCTGCTGCTAGTCGGTATAGAGTGGTACCTTGGTTTATGAACTTACTTCTTTCCATGATTCTGGTAGCAAAACGAATTGAAGGAGAACCGAATCAAATTTCCCCATAAGGTGAGCACTGAACCCGACCATTGAATTTGCTTTGGTTCTTGTCCAATTCAGTTTGTGACCAGAATCATGGAATAAATTAAGTTTGTGAACTGGAGGACCACTGTGTTAGGGTGCCTTAACAGTTCCACCCCGTTCCTACTGCCTGCATCTGCTCTTTCCTCTCTGTTCTCACTGTGATTATTCTTGTTCTGACCTACATTTCTTCTTGACTCTTCCAGGGTTTCTACATTAGTATTTCCTACACTAATCTAAATGTTAAAATCTAACTTTACATACAGTAGTTAAAGTATCTTTTAAGAGCAAAAGTGTCATCGTGTTACTGTGACACTCACAAACCTTCTCTGATGTCCCCTTGCTCTCTAAAAAATGGACACGCTCCTTAGTTTTGAACTACAGTGGTACCTCAGTTCGTGAACTTAATTTGTTCCACGATTCTGGAAAAAATGGCTGTTTGTGTGTGTGCCGGAAAGATGGCCGCAGTCATGTTTGTCACACAAATGCCGAGTTTGCAAACAACAACTAAATTTTTCCAAATTCTTCTGTTTGTGAAGCAAATTGTGCACAAACAAAAGTGTTTGTGAACAAAAGTACCATTGTATTTCTCCCTGTCATGTGGCTTAGGTTTTTTTTTTTTAAGTATTCTCTCATAGAGGCTTTCAGACAAAGGGAGAAAGAAAAGGAACAGGTAAAAATAATCAGGGGGAACTAGGGTCCAAGGTGTCATCTGGGTATGTAGAAGAGGGCACATCTGGCTAGATACGTACAGTATGTGCATTGGATTGACGTTGGAGTGAATTTTCTAGACTGTCAGCTGTTTGTTTTGCTTTAACTCTGTTAGCTCTTATTTGCTAGTAGAAACATGAAGGATAAATAGGTCATTCAAGTGTAGAAGGCCTGAGATAAAATAGCAGACCTGGAAGTTAGGATTGTCCATAGTTAGCACATCGCCAACGTGCCCCCACCCCGTAATCCAATACAGTGGATCATCTCGCATTTCAGGCAAGCTCTTCCTGCCTTCCCACTTTTTTACTTTTTCTCTGGCTGTTTTATTCTCTGTTTCTTTCTCTCTCTCCCCGCCTTCTTCTTCTCCCTCTCTCCCTCCCTCTCCCTCTCCCTCTCCCTCTCCCTCTCTACCTCGGTCTCTCCCTCTCCCCCTCTGTTTCCCTCCCCTCCCTTCCCGTCCCCTCTTCTCCCCTTCTCTTCTGCTAGGGATGGAACCCAGGACCTTATGCGTGCTAGGCAAGTGCTCCACTTCTGAGCTATACCTCTGGGTCTGCTCTGGCTATTTCTTTAATAGGAAAGAGTTTCCAATTTTCTTCACTTGCTCAAGCGCAGCTCTTCCCTCATGAGCCATCTTGGTGGCACCTCCTGAAGCCTTGCATTTGTTTGGCTGATGGTTGGAATGGTTATCTCCTCAGTATTCTCATAACACCATTTATGTTTCTCTTTTGGCCTCAAACCTTGTAAGAAAGAGTGCTGACTTTGCCTTTGATCCATTTCGATGCAATTACCTGCTTCTAACCTGTTGATTTACCACCTGTAGAATTGAGCTGTCGCAACTACCATGTCCCTTGTATTCTTTGAATGCACTTACTAGCTCTGTCACCTTGTGCAAGTTTTGAACTCCTTGAATCTCGAGTTCCTTACCTCTGAAACGAGCTAACATGTTTACTTCCCATCTGGTGCTAAGTGTTGACTGGGGACTAGGAAAGTAGTTCAAGTTGGGGGCCATAGACCACAAAGTCTGACTAGAAAAGAACTAGAAAAATCCTTATTTGCTTATTTGTTCTTTTATTTATTTATTTATACATGCTTGCAATACATAATGTTTACATTCTTCTTAAGGAATGATTACATGTACTTAACATAACTGCACTCTCTTTATTGCCCTTCCTCTCCCCTCCCTTGCCCCTCTGTCTGCCCCTGGATCCCCTTCTCATTTGTGAGATAACTTTCTTCATGGAGGAAGCCTTGATTTTGGAGAGTTGGATCTGAATACTTTTCGCACATTAAGCTGTCTACTCGTCAGGAAGCTGTGGATGTTTATTAGATTATCTCTTGATTGGCTTAAGGACGAGTTGTCCTGGGAAGTTCAGTAATGTGGGAGCCTGGCTTGTGGCGGACCTGTAGGTTTCTGATCCAGCGCTCAGGCCACCAAGTCATCATGCTCCCTATTCTCAGCAGACTGTTTTGTCTTCGCCTTTATGATTTCACATGTAATGCAAAAAGACGATTCCACAACTTGCTTGAAAGTTGTCTCAGTCCCCGAACGCATATCTCTCCGAGCCCCGCGTAGCTTAGAGGAGGTCATCCCTCTGCTGCTCAGCAGACCGTGTTCAGTCTAACTTTCCCTCTAACTGTGCAGTGACCCTTCTCCACACTCAGGGGAAACTTCAGACTACTCAGATTAGAAAATGTCTCATTCCCATTCCGCTCTCTCTTCAATATGCCCTGCCATGATTTGGGTCACATGCTTGGTGTTTTGCATCATCTCCGCAGATTCCTTTCAAAGACTGCCCTAATTCCTAATGGGCCCATCAGCCTGCAGCTCACATTTATATTCTACATTCTTATTGTTCCCCACAGACCCGACAGGGCTTTGTGGAGCCTTGACCAGAGTCTCTTTCTGTAGAGCCCTCCTCATGGCACGCTAAGCCAGAGCCCCCTGTGACGTCTGCAGTCTCTCAAGGGAGGCAGTCGCAGAGTTTGTTGATTTTGTTCAATGCGTACTCTGCCCAGGCGGGTAGATTTATCTACCTTGAGATGAGACTGGGCAGCTGCTGAGCGGCTGCATAACCCTTCTGTACGATGCAGATCACAAGATGCAGAACAGTATGGGTAGTGGATTGGGTTCTTTCACCCAGTGACCATTACCCAGGCCTTTCTCCTTGAACACTATGTTTCGATACTAAGATTTCCTTCTATTGCATTTCTGTTGTTCTTGTACTTGTTTGAGTTTTCCATAACCCAATCTGGACTTCAAAATCTTTTCACCTCCAGTTGCTCCTGCCCTGATCAGGTTGTGCTATGAGAGGCAGTATGAGGTCACTTTACTCCCCACACAAGTTCATTTCACTAACGAACAGAACATCAGGTATAAATGTTATATGTTGGGGTCGCTATTACCCATTTATAGTAGGAGTAACATTTTGTATTGATAGTGCTAAGGGCCTAAAAGTATTCTGTAGGTTTTTGAGCATATTAAAAGGTACATTTGAATTGATCGTGTTCATTATTCCTCAGTTCATTAGTGTGAACACTGAAGTGTAAGGGGAGTCTCTCACTGAAAGAGAGTGTTCAAGGCCAAGGTGAATTGCAAATGGAATTAGAAGCAGGATTCCCTAAGATACCCTAAACCTTTGCTTCCATTGGCACTTCTAGGGTGGAGACTATGTCTCATTCACTTTTGTACCTTATGTACAAGGGGGAGAAAACCATGGGCTTGGGACTCGTCTGACCTGACTCTGAGGCCCAGCTCTACTTCTTCGGCAGCGTGGGTCTCGTACATGTTTAGTCAACCCCTCTGAGCCTTCATGTGGCTGTTACTGTCTCTCAATAAACCAGTTACCAGGATTTCTGATTCTCAGTCCATGGGAGATGGCGAGAATTCTGACGTCTTTTCATGCTGTATATCTTGTGAGACTCAGGAGTAAAGAGGTCGTCTCTTTTTTTTTTGTTTTGTTTTGTTTTTCTTCTGGTACGAGGAATCGAACTCACGACCTTGTGCTTGCCAGGCAGGTGCTTTGCTGCTGAGCTAAATCCCCAGCCCCTGCTTGTGGCTTTCTGAATCTAGACTTGAGTAACCAGAAATTCAAGTGCAGCTCTTCCCCTAGCAGCTCCATCCCAAGCTCTTTATAGCTGGCTTTGGGTTCCATGGAGTTCCTTAGAATCAGCCTCCCAAGAGAGCTGGTGCCTCATCGAGAAAGATCAGTTAAAGTGGAAAAAGTTAACGGGGCTTTAAAATCATCTCATTATGCTCTACCCAGCTCTGCCTCCTTCCCCCCACCAGAGGCACGGTTGGGCTCATGTCATTTCTCCCAGCAGTACCTGGCAGGGATGCGGAGGGGCAAGCGTTCAGCCATGTGGTGCTGCTGTTGTTGCAGACTGAGGTACTAACGTTTTTCAGAAAGGACTGTGCTGTCTCCCTCGCCCTCGCCCTCGCTCTCACTCTCGC